TGAAGCCGACATACCAAAACCCTCGTCCCCGTACTTCCCCTACTGGACAACTCAACCACCGGCCCTAGACCCCGAACAGGGCTTTGGCTTTAGGGTTTGGGGTTTAGGGGTTTAGGGTTTAGGATTTTAGGCTTTAGGGGTTCAGGGGTTTAGGGTTTAGGGGTTTAGGGGTTTAGGGTTTAGGGGTTTATGGTATAGGGTATCGGCGTTTAGGGTATAGGGATTTACGGCTTAGGGGTTTAGGGTTTAGAGTTTAGGGGTCTAGGGTACTGGGGTTTGCGGTTTAGGGGTTTAGGGCTTACAGGGAGAAGGCGAAACATGCTCAGCCGCGGCCCTAGCTTAGCCCTTAAGACGATAAGTAATAAGTAATAAGGGTTTAGGGTTTTAGGGTTTATGTATATTTATGTACCAATCGCCTGGTACAAATCTTGATCCGGATCCCTACATGCACTTCAGCAACTGCATGGCCCTTCTCCACAAGAAAATCAGAAAGCAAAGCCCTGCAGCAGCTGTGCTGTCAGACATTTGTGTAACAAGGTTCTCGAATACATGAGTCGGCATGCCTGGGCACTACAGAGGCTGTGACGGCGATGAAGACGATCATGATGACCAATCTTATACAGTACAGTAGACTGCCACTACAAAGAAACGGTGCAAGACTCCATGACCCCCATCTTTCACGTTCCGTTTTATAAGCCTGTTGATCAGGATCTATGCACCTTCCGGCGCTCCGATCCCCCTGCGAGTGAATCTTTACCATCACATCGAACGAGGGGGTCCACTGTACAAGCATGTCCTGTCTTCGCAGGGCCTGGGCCCTCTGTACAGAATGCCCACTCTTCAGGAAACTCAAACTGCTGCCAAAACCTGCACGAACTACACGAGCACAGAGCCCAACCTCCTCTGACTCATCTGCATCACACCGCGGCACATTCCTACCGGACCCTTGCCCTCGACCTGCCAGTGCGTCCAGCTGGCAATGGAATGAAAGTTGAAGTAATACTTTGAAGGGTTGGAAGCAATGTCTTTCAACCGGGATCCCAACGTGAAGCCAGCATTCTGCCCGTCAACGAAGTTGCCCGTCATGGACATCACGGCAGCACGGTTCTTATAGTGTGCGCAAGGAGACCTCTCTCTGACCCGAAATCATAAGGGCACCCTTGCTCCTTAACACGTAGAACCCAACATGAAAAAGGCAAAAGGGTACTGCTGGGAGACCTAGTGTCTTGTAGGGGCTGCCATCAGCAATCATTCCAGGACCGTTGTCCCCGCAGAAGTTGATCACTGGAGGGCCTGAACCATTCTCACCATCTCCATCGAAGGCCAGGTGAATGTGTGATGCGACGAGCTGAGTGCGACCACCGAAGACATTGGCCGTGCACTGCATGCCACTACGGCTGCAGAGCTTGCAGTCGACGTAAGCTTTTGCTTCACTATCAGGATTAGCGGGGAAAGACTGGACCAGGGTGTTGAAGCTGAGCTCGCTGAACATGTGATAGCACTCGTCGTCAGCCATTTCGGAAGCGGCTAGAGAAACAGGTTGTGTCTCTTCTGGGATGGAGCCCTTTGGCACACAATGGGAGTACCAGGAGTTCATCTGGGAACAGCTGAAGCCAGAGTCGCAGCACGTGGGGCCTGTCCATCCGGTACCGCCACATTGGACCCAGGCTGTCGCACAAGTCCCGGGTGCCTCAGACGCTTCAGCCGGCAAGGTGACCGCCAGCATCGACAGAAGCAACAGCCGGGCCATGTCTGAGAGTCTGAGAATCGAGATTCTAACGGCAAGGGGGCAGTGCGGCCTTTCACTTCGAGCCGATGACATGCGAGCGCGAACATGCAGCCAATGCTTACCGAGGGCGATCGCTGCCGATCCAAATCCAGCAAGCGAGCCAGGTCGCACATTTGCCGAAACGTGGAATCTTGCAACTAAGTCTCCATGGCCCCATCTTCCACATTTCCTTTCATAAGCCTGCTGATCAAAAGGTGGTTCTCCAAGAGCGAACACTCCTCCTCCCGATCCTCCTCCTACTTACTACTACTCCTGCCCTACCCCTGCTCTTCTTCTTCTCCAGTACCATTACTGCTGCTGCTACTACTACTACTACTACTACTACTACTACCGCTACAACTACGACTACTACTACTACTACTACTACTACTACTACGACTGCTGCTACGACTACTATTGCTGCTGCTTCTACTGCTACTACTGCTACTACTACTACTACTACTACTACTACTACTACTCCACTACTACTACTACTACTACTACTACTACTACTACTACTACTGCTACTACTGCTATTGCTACTGCTAGTGCTGCTGCTTCTACTACTGCTACTACTACTGCTGCTACTGCTGCTGCTTCTACTGCTACT